CCTATCATCTGGAGAGGAAAGTCTTACACACTCCCAGAAGTTCTTTATTTCTGATTGCTACCCCTGAAGTAGATTATGAATGACTAAGGTTTGCCAATATATTACATTTCTCTGACAGAGGGAACGACCTTATTTGTTTTGCACTGTTTTGTAGATGGAGGTTTCTTCAGATCTGAAAGTGTGAATTTTCCTGCAGCTTCAAGTATAAGCATAGTTTATTGACTTTATTGTCACTGAAATATAAGCAAATGGTTCTACTTTTACTATATATGATAAATTAAACCAACACCCAGGAAAAAAAATGTATCACTGCATGTACTCTTTCTTCTGTGAAGAGGACTAGACCACAAACATAAGCATGCTGTAAGATACAACATTTCAGCCGTACACAGACAACATTGCAGCATGTGGGTTAAACTTATATATAGACCAGACTATACTAAAATACAGTAGAACAAAACTATATTTGTAAATGATGCTTTTATTTACTTTGACTCAAGATTACCTAAATCTAAATATTCACAGAAGATAGAAAAAAATAAGTCACAGTGGAAGTGACTTATTAAGTGTTCATAGGCATCATATTTGCAGTGCAGTGTCAATTATATTCACCTAACACAGAGCACCCATGGCTTCAACTGGCAAGCTGCGAAAAAGGAGGATTTGTTATCACAATTTGGTATGTGGGAAACTGCTGCTCATAATGATTCCATTTCTTGCCCCTGGTCATTCACATACAATATAGGGCTCAGTTATAAACTTAATTATTTTTATATGCTGCTGATCAATGTTTTAAATAAAACATCCTTCCTCCAGTTTCTGGGCTAATGGTAGCACTGCGATATCCAGTGCTGTAAGGCTGATCCACATACTCAGTCCTCTCTATTCTTACATCATTCCTTTTCTTTTTCTAAACTGAAAGACTAGGAAGGAAACTTCCTCATTCCCATAATGTTTTTAAAGCTATTTTCCCCCCATTTTCACTGTGAAGAAAGCATTTCTGGGCTGTGTTCTCCTGTGGTGCTGCAGGGTAGACCAACTCATTGAAGCTACTGTCAATCTGAAGTTATATCCCAGAGGATATCAATGAGCTTCTCTTCCAATTAATGGATGACTTTTTACTTTTATGAATCAGCTTGTCCTTGACTTTTTACATTGCTGTTAGATCACAATGTTTTCCACTATCATTTCACATTCCCTGTCTGGAAAGGGAGCATACAGAGATTCTATTTTCAACCACAGCTACCATTTTACCATCTCTTAAAGAAATGGAATTTGCAATTGCTGGAAAGGACATATCAAAGGAGACAGGTCTGACCATGAGTGTCCCTACTGAAACTCCTTTCTTGTGATTTACTCTCCTCAAAGCTTTATTCCTGAGATGACACAGAGCTTCACATCAGTGAAGACTGGAAAATGCTTGCCCACATGGCAACTGCAGTTTGCTGAGAGCACAGGATGCACCATGGTTAAGGTGTTGTCTCCCTATAGCATTGAGAGCCTTATATGTGTTTTGTGCCCATTCTCCAGATCCCTGGATTTGGATGGATAGTGTCAGACAGTGCTGACAGCTACCACATTTCACCCTGCCTACTTTTCTATATTGTAGGACAACCACAGAAGTGCTCCTAAATATCTTCAGGACTAAGTTCAGGATATGAAAAGTGCTAAAATTCTGCACACCAGGAAAAGGGGAAAAAATGCATGACATAGATTTCACTAGGTCTTCTCAACCTGGAAAATGAACTTTTCTTTCCCCAAAACTGCCTTGGTAACAGTGCAACTTGACTGCTGCAAATACAATTTTACATCCTACCCTGGGACATATCCATATCATTGCTGTTGTCAATGCAGGGAAAATCAATTTCATATGCACTGAGACCTGTGGCACTTATGGAAGGCAGCATTTGACTCTCAGGGTTACATGGTCATTTCTAATTTAGTAGAAAGGGGCACTACATTAGCAGAAATAGAGAAACATAAGGATCTCAAACCCAACCAATTCATCCCATTCCCAGGGGCTACAATTTCTGAGGGCAGAACTGACCCATAATCTCACATCATGTGATTCTGGCCCATCTGTTCTCTGGTGTACACAGGGATGTCACTTGTATAATAGACAATTCAAAGTCTTGTCTGGAGTCACAGAATGTTAAGGGATTGGAAGGGTCCTTAAAGACCACCTAGTCCCAAATTTCCCTACCATGGGCTGGGACAACTCCCACTAGAGCTGGTTGTTTAATGTCTTTTCCAGCCTGGCTTTAAACACTGCTAGGGTTGAGTCCAAGGCCCAACCTTATCTAGTTTTTAGTAAATACTGGTTCATTTGTCTAACTTGAGTTGACTTATCCTGATTTAAAAGAGGCATGGAATAGTCCTCTGCTTCCTGGTTTCCTAAGAGAATACTCATTCAATGCAAGTGAAAGATGACTGAGTCTGACCTGGAGGGCTGAGAAACCCATGGTCACATCCACTGCATTGTGGGGCTGGTGCTGCCAGTGTGAACAGAAAGCAAAGGACAGAAAAACACAAGGTCAAGGTATCTATAAACCTTCTAATGGTTTTACTGGAAATTATGCCTCTGTAATAGAGCCAAGATTGTAGATGCATTTTTAAAAGGAAAATGTTGCCACATATTTTTCAATTTTTTCCCCCTTCTTTTTGTGTTATAACCTTGTCACTTGAAATCAAGTCCACGCTGGCTGCAGCAGGGTTTCACCCTCTATTTTTCTACATAAGAATTTGACAAAAATGAGTGCTGCTTTTGCTGTGTTGGTACCTGTTGCAAGATTTGTAATAAGTTCATGGTTAGGTGCACACATAAGTGAACTTGAGGGCAGTGGTACAGTCAGTTAAACATTACCACTGCAGACTAAGAACAGTGGTAGGACAACTAAGCAGTACTCTTAGACTATGTACACAACTTAAAAATGAAATACAGCCCAGAGCAGAAAATGTTGAATACCAATGCCCTTGAAAGGTAAGTTTGTGATTCAAAAATTAGTTAAATTATATGAAAATAAGAGAACAGTTGAGAACATTTTCCCTGCTAGGCATGAATGCTGGGGACAGAGTAAAATTGTATTAAAAAAAGATTTTCACCACAATTATGATTTAGAGGAAATGTGACTTAAAAAACTGTGTGATGGTGTCCTTATTATTTGACTGAGTATGAAAAATCCTTTAGCTAACCAGATAGCATCCTGACTGCATTTGGTAATTTCTTTTTTTTAAAACATCCACTTTTAAAAAGGATTACTTTCACAGAATTTTCAAGAATATTTTGAAGAAAATATACCAATTAGGCGCTATAGAGGTTTTGGTTTTTTGGTTTTTTTTTCTACTACTACTGAAAGGAGTTCTCCACTCTTCAAGAATATTTGCCAACTTACCTGTCAAATCAGCAGCTGCCATCTGCAACCCTATAGTAGATTTCAAAACATAGTTTTTACTTAGTCAAAAACACTCACTATATAATACAATAAAGACCTAAGAATTTAACAATCTAAACTGACAGAATTTGGAGAAGTCACAGAAGATAGAAAAGGTTGTATTGTTTATAGATTCCAAATTGTAGTCTTTGTGGTTGTAGTGTTACATTTTGAATGACAAATTTGCTTCTGTGGGTACTGTATATTACTTGACACCACTTTATTATTGCCTTGAGTGAAAACAAAACAACCTCAAAATATACTCATTGTGCCCATATTGCTGACAGATAGTGTCTGTCATATACTTGTGTGCAATATTGTGTTTTCCTTCTTCTTTAACCTGGATGTGTGGCACTCATAAGCATGGACTGGGGTTATAATAAGAATATGCTCAGGCTAATGATGCTCCCAGACATCCTTGGAAGTGGGATTTAGTCTCAAAACTTTTTTGTACATGCATTTATACTTCAGCTGTGATGTTTCTCAGCATTTTTCAGGCAAACCCAATCCATCATAACTCTCACATAAATATAACATTTTTTGTTTTCTGCATACAGGTAATAATTTTTAAATGTTTTTCTCCACCTTCCTTTCTGATCAGCTGCAAACGGAACATTAGAAATTAGGAATTTATATTTATTTTTTAGGAGGGTCTTTTCAAAGCTCCATTCTTTAATATTATGAAAGAAAAAACATACAATAGTATTCACAACAACTCAGCTTTCAGAGTATCCACTGATTACCATATAAAGAGCACTGCCACTTACTCAGTATTCCTTCCTCTGCTTATCATTCCAGTGTCAAGCCTGTAAGTTCAAAAGTGCACTCCTTTTTTGCCAAAACCAGAAGACCCATTTTATGTCTGGTAAGCAATTATTTTATGAGGGAAGAATAATGGAACTTCAGTCCATTTTAAATGATATATTGTCTGTCAGCCAAGTAAATCTGCTCTGAAAGGCATGGCCCTGACAGTCAGACATGTCTTGCGTGACTTTGCTTAATTTCATGTCTATTGTCAAAGTGCTGATATAGTCAATACCACAAAAACCACTTTAGAGGTTTCAGAATAGTTTGAATATTGACTTATGTGGAACACAACATATATGCAAGACAATACAAACTTTCATTGCCATGCCTGTTGCATTCAAACAAAATCTAGTTAATATATTTCTTCTGTTGCCCTATTGCTTTCTACATCCAATGGCATTATTACATAATGGATATGTGAAACATGAGGCAGATCAAACTCTCTCTGTTGGACATCCACTGCACCAGATCAGAAAACTGCTTTTTTTTTCTCTTTAAATTTGTGCTTTCTGAAACTACAGAAGAAATAAGATTATTATTACTCTAGAGACAGCTTTGAAAACACCACCAAAACATCAGCATTGCCCAGCTGAATTTCTCAGCAGTAATGTAGAAGACTGGAATGAGGCCACAAATCTATTTACAGGAAGGTTGTTTTATTCACAGACCACCTCTGCATGCATTGCAAAGGGCCTCAGCAGCACTCACTCAGATAATCTATTGCCACTAAAAGGCCAGGTCTGTCCATCTGCCCCTACTTACATGGCACCGTGCGGAGGTAGAGGTTGTCTCTTATGATCTGCTGGAGCTCATGGTCCACCGAGCCTTTCTGGAACCGCAGATTGAGGTAGTGACGAAGGTCCTTATCAACGATGCCTCCTGTCAGGGCAAAGACAAATGGAAGTGCCATTTAAAATTATATTGCTTTGATGGAAGCAATGCATCACTTGTGAAGTCTCTGTGGCTCGTTCTCCTTCATGTTTATGTCATGATGGAGGACAGAAGCACACAGAGCTTTCTGGTTAAAGCATGTGCTTGGTACAGTATCTTTTACTGTTGATAATTATAAAGGTTAAAACCAGTTAATGACAAATAACTGGCTAAATCTGTACATTCAGAAAATACATATGGGATTATAGACAGAGCTGTCAATTTTCTTTCTGTACAAAACTTGAACATAGTTTTATCATACAACTACAAACATATGTATCTAAATAATAAAGTATTAGGTATTCTATTTCCCACGACCTTGTACCAATTTCCCATCTTATTAAACTAAAAGTCTTGGTTCAAAATCTCTCTGCAGTGTTCAATATTTTTAGTCCATGTGTAACTAGAATAAAATGTGTTTGTACTTAGCAATGATATAAATGTTATGTTTTGTTTTATTTCTTTCTGATAGAACTCAGAGCTGAAAGAGAGACTACCAAAAACAAGGGTTCATATTTTATTTCCACTGCCAAAAATGTCATTACAACACCTCAGCAAAGCAGTGCAAATGGGGAAAAAAGTGAGTTAAAAACTTTGTGTTTGCCATATTTACTATAACTTTAGGACAAAACAATTTAAACTAGTGACTGGTGTATGATCTTCTACTATGAAAGGCATATCTATAAATCTAATCCAACATGATTAATAAGCATTTCCCAATATAGTTACTTCCCATTTCTTCTAACCTTGAATAAGGATCACATTTATAATTATGGAGAAGTCTATAAATAACTCAATTTCTTCTCTCTCTGAAATTCTGACATAGGAAAAATATAGAAAATCATTACTACATTGAGTTCTGACATATATTCCCAAGATGAAAAACTGCAAGTAGATATATCCCTAACTTGTTGCTTCACACATGCAACATTAAAACATTTTTTCAAATGTCATTTGCTATTGAACCCTCTGCCAAAAGTCTTATTGACTTAAACTATACAAAGATTTTCCTGTAAATAGGAACACATAACATTCCTACCAAATTATCTGAAAGTTTCTGCAGAGCAAAAATGGTTATATATTAAAATATATTTCTTCTTACAGAAATCCTATTTATCTGCCTACTTTAAGTCCATAATGTTATTACTGCTGCTCTTCGTCAGTAACTTCAAAACCTTTTGTTCCAGGTTTATAAAAAGCTTATAAATAATTTCTCCCTTCTTTAGCTAAAGGCAAAAAAGCCAGCAACTTTCATAATGAAAAGAAGGAGGGGAAAAGCACCCCAGCTTATAAGACACAAAATACCTGAATGCCTGGTTCCCTGAGGCTGAGAACTTCCATATGGATCTCTGTTCTTCCAGGATCCCCAAGCTCTAATTAATCTACTACTTTGTGCCACTAACCCTGTTTCTTGCAATAGAAAAGATTTTACAGATGAGACCATCCTTACTTCTAATTTCTTGTGAGATTTCCCAGGAGGCTGCAGAGGAACTCTCTGAGTCTGCTGTCCTGCGTGACCGCTGCAGAGAGTAAAGGTCCTGCAGCCCCTGCTCTGCTCACTCTGATACACAGAACATGCCCAGTGATGCAAATGCTTTTTGGCAGCCTGAGAAAATGCCAGCTTGAGAACAACAGCTGCAGCCTGCCCACTGACACAAACCTGAATCGTTCAACTTATAACATTAGTAAGTTTAGGAACCTACACAGATTTCTGACCCTCAAAGTGCATTTTTTATTTACAGCCTCTTGTTTCAAGCACAGTCATTTAGTTCATTTAGTTCAACATGTGTAATGAATGCACTAAAACCTCCAAAGCACTTCATAAAAAGAGTCACCTGATACTTTTGGCAAATTGCATATTCCAAACTAGAAATAAAAATGTGTATTTACAGGAAGAGATGTCTACAGCCTTGCATTAGTTACATGCAATTCAAAAGCAAATTTCTAAGAGAAATAAACAGAAATAAAATCATGGTGCATAGGAAATAAAACTTCCAAGCACAATGGAAACAATATAATTTTTTCTTAATATCTGAGTGTATAGTGTAGAGTTTTGTTGATTTTAAAGAGCAATCATTTTAACTACAATTAACTACAATGTACAGTTACAAATTTTATTCTTCAAAAGCAATTGTGTTCTCTGAACTAACTCATGTTTTTCGATTTTTCAATACTTTGGGCACAAGCTACCTTTTTTTTTTTTTTTTTAAATCCGGTCCAGTATAACAATGATTTTTTTTTAGTTCATCCTTTCAATTGCCATTCTTCTGCTTTTCTGTAGCTTACCTGATGCTTTTTTAAAGCATATTGACTCCAGAAGTGCTTTTGTGGTATTGGAAGCACCTGAGCTTTGGAGCAGCCTGATCCTTTTGAAGCGCAATCAGAAAAACATCTTGCATGTGCAGTTTTGAATCCACAAGACTTTTTGTAAGAAAACTATAGTGAATTTCAAATATTTAAGCCAGCCTTGATTTAGCAGCAGTGAATTACAGTTTGTGTTACAGACTACATAAAGCAATTATTATTATTACACGTATAATAATTATGGGACTATGTCCTCCAAAAGGCTGAAAATAAGACACAAAAAATGTTACCATTTGGTTTACTTTGGAGGGAAAGAACAGTGACATTGACAGTAAGTTCAGAGAAAAAGAAACAGGGGAAGAGCATTTTTACAGTCAGTAACTAGTATTTAATGGTGCTATCCAGCCCCGTTAGACAAGTGACTGACTTGGTTTCTGCAGAATTCAACTTCCATTTATTTTCTCTTTCTGCAGAACATCGAAAGTTACTGAGATGTTGAAAAATTCCTGACATGAACCTAATCCCCTTCTTTTCTCTTATCCCCTGGCTGCCCAGGGTGGAGGAGCAGGGGGCAGCGCTCGGGGAGCAGCGGTGCCCATGGCGCTGTTCCGCGGCTCTGGCGCTGCCCGGGCTCTGCCCTGGAGCCCAGCAGCTCCCCAGGCACGTCCTGCTCACTGCTTGGGGCAGCAGCACGAGGCACTGGCCTGTGGCAGAGGCATCATGCACCTCAAGCTTTAGGAGCCCAACCCAGAGACCATAACATAAAGGGTTCTTTGGCCACTGCCACAGGAGGAGGCTGACTACTGCGTGATGGAGCATTCACTGGCTTGCAGCCAGGCAGTGCTTTTATGCTTTATTTTCTTTTTGCTGGCTTGAGGCCTGTGCTGTGTTTCAGTTTCATTTCACTCCAATGAACCCCCTTGCTTTGCTAGCTGAGAAGCATAGGTTGTGAATTAAATGCTTCCAGTAATGATCTCTTGCATAATGTATGTGTGGTTTAGGTACAGCTACCAATCATGATGGCAAACTCATAACCATGACTGAAGTTGATGCCAGACATTATAAAATAAGACACACTTGGCTGAACTAAAAACTGTTCTGTTTGCATGTTATACTTATGAATCTAATGAGCAAAGAATAACTTTTTAGTGTTTTAATGCATTTCTCTCAGGTTTGTTTGTCTTTATAAAATCTAGTAAAAAATTCCAATCAGAAAAGAAGTACAATAAAGAACACATGGACAAAAGGGTACTGAATAGTTTCTAACTTATTAGAAAATTCAAATCTGAAGATAATTGCCATTTCCAAGAAAATGGCAGGGATAAAGGTTCAAATTTCTCTAATTCTAAAACTTGTAACAGTTTTTTGCAACTTCCTATCTGGTAACTCACTGATGCTCCAGCTGGAGTCTACACTTGCATTATATTTTCCATGAAGAACATGTAAACACAAACATCCCTCATGTTCCTGCAATGGTAGCTCTAAATAATTTGTTTTACCCTTAACACATTTTTATTGGTGTAAATTTTCAACAAATACTTCTGAGTATTCACCCATTAGTATTTTTTATTGGTGTAAATTTTCAACAAACACTTCTGAGTATTCACCCATTAGTATTTGCTTAACTTGTATCATGATCTTTCATTGAATTGACTTCCCAAAATGTGGTGTGGTAAATTATTTGAAATTTTTTCAACAGTAAAATCAATTTCATTTCATCTGAGAATAATTTGCCTCAAATATTTTATTTGCTGGGATTAAAATGTAAAGATTTCCATTTCCCTGGCATCTATAAATCCTCCTGGTTAGAAATATCTAAGTGTAAGCAAGACTTTTAGATCTGTATTTGCATCTGCACATGCTCTGCATCTGGAGAAACTAAAGGGAATATCTTAGTATTGCTACTCCGTGAAAACAGATAAGCTCATAAACTTTCAGTATAAACTACTCCCTCTCTTCTACTGCCCTACTTTAATCAGATTAGCTCTCCTTTTTTTTTTTTTTTAACAAACCTCTACTTCTGACTGTAAACATAAACCATATATTTGGCAAAATCAAATGCCTTGAATGACCTGGCTTTCACCAGCTTCAGCAGGAGTGCTCTACTGAAGAGTCTCATCCAAATTATTTATTCAGGTGGTACCTGCAGCTTCATATCCATACCATGGGGTGGGTCCGTGGCCATCTGACAACAGCTCAAGTTCCTTTGCACCTCTTCAGTAGAACACCTGCAATTTGCTGCCTGCTAGATTAATTTATCTTTCACTGTTCACAAATAATCTAACTGACCTTTCTATAAGTAGCCTAAATGGTGACCTAAGTTCCTTAAATCAGCTTTAGCAGGAATATCTGATTTATTATTTTTATTATCGGCTATATCAGATTATTATCTGATTTGTTATTATTCCTTTACCCAGGAAGGTGAGTGCAAGAATATTTTTTGTGACTCTCTCTGGGATATATCAAGAATATCATAGTCATCACAGGTAAAAAGCTGTGAGCATGGTATACGTGCTCATTTCTGAATGTCTTTTCAAATGGTCTGGTAAGAATCCACAATACCTTAAATTACCCTAGAGAACCCATCCTAGTCATTCCAATAATTTTAGTCACACCATGACCACTTATCTTTAAACATCTCTATA